ATCACCTCCCCTGCTCCTCCCCCTCCCTTCAGCCGGGTCCAGCTGTTGGCAGAGCTGCAGCCGAGTAGCTCTGCAATTAAAAGCTGTGTACATCGAAGCAAGGCTGCAAAAGTTGCTCCCTTTAATTACAGCAGCTTCCCAGCACCTCCGAGGAGGTGGCTCAGAGCTTGGCTGGCAGCAGCTACGTGAGGAACAGGTATGAGCCACTCTGCCATGGTGAGGAGCAGCAGAGAGGGATTTCTTCCACCTTTGAGGGCTTTATTTTGTAGGAGAGGAAGGTGTAAAAATTAACAGGAATCACCAACCTGTTTAAATTGCACTCCTTTGTGAAATATGTTTGGTTTGTAGCCAAAGCTCACTGGCTTCCTTGCCATTGCAGAAGCCTCTGCTTTGTCACATAAAAGTTATCATAACCTTATTAATTGCTGCGTAATTGGTATAGGTGAGAGGAGGTTACGTCTGGTGTGTGGGGAGGGTTGATTCTCCCTGAGGGGGCCCAGAGCCCCTTCAGCCTGTGGAGGTCAGGGAGGATGGAGGTTGCAGCACACCCAGCGATGGTCCAAGCAGGAGCTCCTGGATCAAATCCAGCCCTGCAGGATTGTTGACTCCTCATTTCTGTAGGCTTTCAATCCCATTCTAAGATGCAATACATCTGGCAGTCTTCACTCCTCATGGCTGATTTTTGCAGCCCAGAAGAAATGCCTTCCTGGGGACCTCCTGGTGGAGGGGACCTCCTGGCAGAGCCCTGCCCGGACCTGCTGGAGCTGCTGCTGATTACACCAACAGCAAAATCTCAGCATCAGCTGTCTTCTGGGGACATGCTGGGATTCCAGCAAATGCTGCCTCCTGACATGACGGAGAAAGCAGGGTTTTGTTGAACCTTGGAAATAAATAAACTGATTGCTGATTGCTGAACCTCACCCCCAGATGGGTAGGACTGTGTCATGCAGGATCAGTGATGGGCCAGAGAAACAGTCCAGTTGCTTGTTGCAGAAGCAGAACCATTGTAGGTGGCTTTAAAAGGATACTGTAATTGCTTGAAAAACCTCACTTTTGAGATCGTTGTGTCTCTTCTAGCAGGAGGAACAGGTCAGGTAGTGGGATGTTCATCTCGTGGGCTCTTATTTGGACTTTAAATTGCTTTTGATGGGCTTGTCACAGACCCCTGGGAGCTGCTCGGGCTCGGCTCCAGTATCTTTCATCCCCCAGCTAACAGCCCTGTGCTTGCTGGGCTCCTGTAGGCAGGGAGAAGCTGAGGAAGCAGAAAGGACAGAAGCTTTCCTCCATTTCCCCTGCCGCAGTCTGCCTTGCTGATGACAGCAGATGTGGGCAGAGAGGATGCAATTAAATATAATATAGGATATTGGCCCAGCCTGCCAGCAGATGCCCACGAGATCCATTTAGTGCTGGACTTTTCAGCCCCAGGAGCAATAGTGTAGAAGGAAACGTTGGGTTAATGTGAAAATAGGTCAGCAGGATGCAAAGATAACCCCACAGTCATCTGATTTCAGAGAGCACTGCGCTGGGAAAGGGAATGCATCCCCTGGTTGATTAAAGCACCTCTAAGGGGAAAATAGCAGGAGAAGAAGCTGCTGTAGATTTATTCTGGAGTAGGCACAGCTGGTGGAGGCAGCTGGCAGAGAGACGAGTGCGGTGCTTGCATCCACTTGGAGTGAAGCTGCTTTGGGTGCTGCCTCCCAAAGAGGAGCGAGGCTGAGCCGATGCACTAATCCTGCATAGTGATGGGATGGGACGAGCCCCCGGGTCACTGCTCCGGAGGTGCTGCACCATCCTTGGCTGGTCTGGGAGGAGAGGTTTCTCCAGGAGCTGGGATCAAGCAGTTTTCCAAAAACAAATGTCTTGGCTGCGCTGGCTGAGAAGGAGGCATTTGTGCTCATCAATTTTATTTGCGTAATTTCAAGCGCCATTAATAGTACATGACATGAGGAAAAATCAGGGAAATTTCACTCCAACCATGAGTGAAATTGGGTTTAGTAGAAAATTAGTTGACTTAACTGGCAAGTGATGAAAGCTTGAATAAAGAATCTTTAAATAAGGAGGAAAGAAAAAAAAATCCCCCCCACCTCGGAGGTGCAGCCTGGATTTGCATGACTGGAATATTAAAATCAGTGGTTCTGAAGAGTTTAGGAAGGATAAGGGGGGTAAGTGAGAGAGATGCTCTGCTTCAAAGACACCAGTCCTGCTTTTAGGTCGCCTCCTGCCTCGCAGCCTTGGGAGTACGAAGGGACCTGGCGAGGGGATGTGTGGCAGATTACAGCTATAGGGGGGGCCTGGGGGAGCCCGACCTCCTCTCCCTAACCCATGAAGAGTTTTTTTGGAGGCTTCAGCCTGAGATACACTAATTGCTGTTTCCTGCAGCCCCTTGTCAAGCTTGCTTAAGGCTTTTAAAAACTCCAGATGATTTTGCAGCGCAGCGGCTTGTGTTACATATACTAGCTAGAGGACGGGCTGTGCTGCAAGAGAATTGTCATGGTTTGGGGATTTTTAGTTAAATACAAGGTTTATGGATCAGCTGAGTGGCTGCACCATGGCACCAGGTCGGTGTAAATCAGCACTGCCATTTGGCTGGCGACTGAGGGAGAAGCAGCGTGTATGTGAGCAAATGTGGTGTTCAGTATTGCATCTCTCCAAAGACCTGGGTTTTTTACTGGCTTAAAATCTCCCTTTCAGCCTCCTCAGGAGGGGTGAGTCTCCTCATTGCCCTGTTTATCGTGCTGAATTGGCTCTTGGAGGTGAGAGCCTTTCTATTCCTGCCATCCTCCCAATCAGCCGTGTCGTGTAAAATTGTGCATAAAAGTGATGGAAGGGTGACCTGCTTCCCCCGCGGCCGGCCCGGCTGGGCTGCCCTCAGCTGCTGCCTGCATTCCTTCTGACAAGAGCTGTGAAGCAGCTGCACATGCAGCTCTTTGCCTCCAGTTGAATCCCTGTGCTTTTCCTGGCTTGGGCAAGTGATGTGGTTCCCCAGGTATTCACTCTCTGGTGAAGATTTCGGGATCACCAGCCTCAGGTTGGGGTGGGGTTGGAAGGAGGATGTTGGTGTCTGATGCTCAAGAGGTTGCAAGACATGTCAGAACAAGGGTGAGATATGGCCAGGGAGCAGACCAAGACCCCTTCATCATGTATCTATAATGGCAAATCAATTTCACTGGCTACTTATGATCCCTTCTGATGTTTTTTGCAAAGACTAGAGTATGGAGAGCAAATGCTTTTGGTAACTGCATCACTTGGCTGTTCCCATCCATTTCCTCTACAACCAGCTGTGGGATCAATAGATGAAATCCTCTCTGTAGCTGTAGGTGTGGCCAAGGGATGAGGACCTTATGGAAGTGCTTCTCAGAGGATAGACCCTTGGACTGTGTGTCCAGCTTAAGCTGAGCAACATAAAACCTGGGTAGAGCTGGAAAGAAAATTCTTGGGTTTAGAAGAGGAAATGCAGAGAAGTTAGGAGAACCAGTCAGAGAAGTCACATAGAGGGAAAGCTTCAAAGCCTGGGAATGTAACACTTGGTTGGAGTTTTTATTTCTAAGGGAAGGGAAAATACTGATGAGGATGGGTGGGATAAATTCCCATCTCCAAATAGGTGCCAGAAGTGAAAATCCCGGAAGAAAACAAAGACATCTTAGCAGGCAGGAGCTAAGGGTGAGATTTCACACTGCCTGAGCTCAGACTTGAAAAATAAACCAGAAATTCCTCAGCCCTGTTAGAGGGAGTGAGAATGAAACAGGGCAACTGTATGGTGGGAGTGGGGCAGAGCCTGGGCAGACCAAGTCAGCTCCACGTTTCTGTTCTCCATGGGGGTGTTGCTATTGCTCTTTGGATAAGAGTAGGGTTATGAGGGTGAGGATGAGGAATTATTTGTTTTAGGAGGCAAAAAATACAAGAGCATTGAAACTGAGGGTGGATCATTTGTATTTCTGAGCAAACTAGCATTCAGAAATCACAAGTACACGTAACAAGGATTTTTGAGAAACCTGCTGAAGCTGGAAGATGTCACAGCTTTTTTTCTGAGAAGGAGGAAACATGGTCCAGACAAGCAGATGGGCTGTCAAGCTGACATCAGTGGTACACTTAGTGGAACAGCTTTGGAGAAAGGGATTCATCAGTTCACAGAGGTAATTGAAAATGGAAGGAGACGTGCCGCAGGTTTACCAGCCTTGTATCATGCCAGATTAATCACATATCACCCTGGCAGCAAGGTAATTGATGATCTTGATAAAGAGATTGCAGTCGATCTGGTTTATCTGGATTTTCATAATGCTTTTTATCTGCTGGAGGAGGGATGAGGGGATGAGTAGAGCTGTCGTGAGGAACTGGCGGTAAACCCTCTGAGCCAGACCCTACCCTGGCTTTATTGACCTACTTCATAAATGGGACAAAAACTGAGACATATTCATGAAACGTGCACAACATCCAAGGACAGACAGTGCCACCAAAATCAAGAAGCAGCCGAGGGTGCTTTGGGATGTGGTGGGTACCTGTAAGGACTGCAGTAGGAGGAATGGTGCGTGGTTGTGTGCTGGGAGGGGTGTGGGGCTGGGAATAGGGAGATTTAGGCTAAGCTGGGAGCCTTGCAAGCAGGGAAGAGGGAAAAGGTGTGGCTTTCCAAGTCTGTTGTGGGGGGGGGGTTGCAATGCAAGCAAGCAAAATCTGGTGTCTTCAATGAAAGAGGTCCGGGGGAGCATGTGCGCCGTATGCTGGGGAGCCCTGGCTGGGAATGCTGTGCAAAAACCTCGTCATCCACATGGCAGGAACCCAGCTGGAGCAAGTGCACAGACAGGGAGAGACCAGCACTCCCCAAAGCTTCAGATTTTTGGCCCAAGAAATAAAGGCTGGGGATAGGAGAACGATCTTCCTCCTCCTCCGTCGGCTGGGGAGGCAGTCGCTGGCCCCAGTTAGACACTGGGCATGGAAGTGAGTGTTTGTGCTGCAGGGCATTTGTGGTGCTGGGGGACTGATCAGTCTCTCCTGCTTCTCCCCAGTCACTTAGGGGTGCCGCCAGGACGGGGGAACTGTCCCTTGACCAGTCCTCTGCCTTTCGACCTGATTTACACCGACTACCACGGTCTCCAGCAGATGAAGCAGCACATGGGTCTCTCCTTTAAGAAATACAGGTAAGCGAAGCCACTCCCTTCTCCTGGTCTCCATCTCATTCATTAGCAAGTACAGACTAAAACTAATGGCCTCAAAGGACAGTCCCCACCTCCAAGGAGTCAGACCCTTGGGTTGCACCTTGGATTTTTGCCCGGCTCTGCCAGTGGTGCCTTGCTGTGTCCTGTGCTGCCAGGGCACAAGGTGGTCTGCTCGCTCCGGAGCCTTGTGTGATGAAGATAAAACCTCGTTAGAAGAGACTGAATTGGGGGAAAAAAGCCCTTGTGGGGTGTGTGTGTGCTTCCGAGTCCTGTGCCTGCAGACAGCAGTGGCCTCATCACTAAGGGAAGCTCAAGCCTTTTCTATTTGCAAGGAGCCCCATCCCTGGTTCCTTCAAGCATCAAGACAAATGTCATCATCCCCTGGTATATCACCAGCCAGGAAAATATGCGATTTAATTTAGTGCTGATAGTCCTGCTATTTATTATGTTTTCTCCCATCTCTTCCACTATCCTACACAATTTTATTAGAGAGAAAAATGACAAGCGATGTTATTGCTTTTATTATAAATGCGTTTGCTCTCACATTCAGCTTGTTTTGCTCTTCCCTTGCTTGATGCTCCCCTTCTCTCCTCGCTCTTGTGCCTGCCCCAGCGTTGCCGGGATGCTGGGGAAGGCATTAGCAAGCCTTCAGGAGACCCCCCACCCCCAGCCGCCAGGGAGCAGGAAGCCCTGCCAGGGGGAACTGGCGCCAGCAGGGAGCGGTGGGCGCGGGAGGGCCGCTGGTGATGTCCCTGCACCTTCTGCTCGGGGGTGAGCTGCCCGGGGCCACCGGCTGTCCCTGGCAGTGGGACTTTCTCAGGCTGAGGTCCCGGGTGCCGTGTCCCCGGCAGGTGCCGCGTCCGGGTCATCGACACCTTTGGGACGGAGCCGGCGTACAACCACGAGGAGTACGCCACGCTGCGCGGCTACCGCACCAACTGGGGCTACTGGAACCTGCAGCCCGCCCAGTTCATGACCATGTTCCGTGAGTGGGGGCAGGGGCGCGGCGGGGCGGCTGCGCGGGTCATGGGCACCCCAGAGGAGGGTCTCGCCTCCTTCAGGAGGTGACACATGGGCAGTGCTGTCCTCCCCGGCTCCAGTCTGCCTCCCCCTGCCTGCAGGGAGCTCCTGGGCCTGCTTGGCCAGCTCTTGGGCTATAGAAATGTTCTGGGGTGAGAGCTGGCTCCTTCCTCCACGGTGGGTTGCTGGCTCCAGCCCAGTCAGGCACAAACATAGGAATCATAGAATCACTATGGCTGGAAAGGACCTCCAGGACCATCAAGTCCAACCTCCATCCCAACAACTCCCTAACCATTAGACCATTGCCTCAAGTGCTGCATCTACTCATTGTTTGAACTGCTCCAGGGATGGTGACTCCATCACCTCCCTGGGCAGCCCCTTCCAGTGCCTGAGCACTCTCTCAGACACAGCCAGGAGCTGCCAGCTCCTGGGATGGGAAATGCAGGGTGGTTTCAGTTGCAAAGTCTGGTTTTATTTCAGGTGGGGTTCTAAAGGTGAGAGGCAGCTCAGTGGTTTGGGTTTGCTTGTGACATGGAAAGGAGGTGTGCTTGTCTGAAAGGAACCCTGTGACCCATTGGGTGCTGGGTGATGCAAACGTAGCTTCTTCCTGACTGGATAAAGCCCATCTGGCAGCCTTAAAAATGCCTTACTTTTAAAAGTCCCTCAAGTGAGTTCCAAAGCCTGTATTTTATGAGCTGCTTGGGTGGAGATTCATGCCACTTTTCCTCCAAGCTCCAGCAAGGCTCTGGAGCCAAGCTCATCTCAGCCCTTCTGCTGCAATGGGCCTGCATCCTCAACCCTCATGAGGTCCCAGAAAACATCTCCCCAACCCCATGTCTTCTCCCCTTGGTGTCCCCAGCTCACACCCCTGACAACTCCTTCATGGGCTTCGTGTCAGAGGAGCTCAACAAGACGGAGAGGCAACTCATCAAGTCCAACAAAGTGAGCAGCATGGCAGTGGTGTACGGGAAGGAGGCCAGCATCTGGAAGGTGGGTGTCCTGGGTGCTCTCGGGGCAGCTGTAGGCAGAGCTTTGAGGTCACAGCAGCTCCTGGCTCTTATCCGGAGCTTTTGAGGCCCAGATTTTGGTGAGTTTGTTGAGAAGCACCCTTGTCCCATTTGCAGAGGAGAAGCTGAGGTGCTGTGACACATCCAGCACCTCCAAGCAAACAGGGCTGGTGAGACCCCGTCCCCTGCTCTCTGCTCTGGGTGATGCTTCCTCCCAACAGGCTGTGTAGACTGAGGAGTTTGTATCGATGATTGGGTGTAATTAATGACAATAATTGCTGTTAGCTGTTGTGCTGCCCCTGGGTTGTCATGGGCGGGTGGAATGCCTGTGCTTTCAGGTGTTGAGGGTCGTGTTGCACCTCTGCCTGCCTGTGCTTGGAATGTCTGGGGGAAAGGAGTGGGCAATACCCCCCAGCCCCCCAAACCATCCGCTCTGCACCTCCTGTGGCAGCCAGGGAATGTGCGTGCTCCCCACTCCCCCCAGTGCTCTCATCCCAAGCCAACCCAGTAGCTTTTCCTTCCAGGGCTTAAAATCAAACAACTAATTCTCACTGTCTCTTGCTTTATTTCTATTTCTCCCTGTGTGTGCTGCCTGGGGCTGTTCCAGTTGCAGGTACTGTACCATGCCAGCTGCTGCTGGGCTTTACCCCTGCACATCTTCTCGAGAGGGAAGAGGTTTTGCTGGAGTTGACTTTGTCTCCTCATGGGCTCGGTGCTGCTGAGCTGCCAGGATGGATGTGGGTTGATGCAGCCGGGGGCTGTGTCCCCTCTCTGTCCCCACCTTTCCTGATTGAGCAGCTCTGCCCTCGCAGGGATGCTGTGGTGGCCAGGATCTGGCCATGCCACACCATCTCCTCCTGTTCATGGGTGTTTGTGGCTTTTCCATCACCCCTCACAGCTGAGAGCAAAGCCCATCAGCATTTGTGTAGCTTGAAGGCTCCCCGACACCGCACTGAAAGCCACAAAATTCAATTTTAGGGGAATTGTGGGGTTTCGTCTTCTTTTGCTACCATCTCCTCACCCTTTCTTATCCAGAAGTTTCATTTGAGCTTACTTAGGTTAATTTGGGAAGGCACTAAAGAGAGTTAAAAGCCTCAGAACAGACATTTCCCTCTACCCTTAGTTCTATGAACATTTGCTCCTTTTAACCAGAATTCACAAACAACCTCCATGTTCCCAAAGCTCTCTAGCTGAGGTCATTTGTTACTGGGTAGAGGGGCTGGGGCTGGTTTTGCTGGTGGTTGTTCCACAAGTCCAGGCTGCCTGGGCACTGCTTCATGTCCTGTGCCACCTCATGTCATAAAATAAGGTAGAAGAGGAGTTTTTTGTTATTTTGAGTGATTTTGAGGTCCAGGAAGGAAAAGAGTACCTTCATCTCCTGGAGCCAGGTGCTTATTTACAAGCCTTGGACCAGGTGTCACCTCCAGAGCAGGATCTTTTTGGCATTAGAAATGTTTCATTAGATCTACCTTCCCATCATTTCTCACCTCCTGCCCCTCTGAACGTCTTGCCTCAGGAAGCCAGAGATGCTGGGTGATGCCTGGTGCTACCCAGGGACCATGGGCTTTGTTTCACTCTCATCTCCTCAAGCATTAGGGAATTGACATCAAAATGGTGCTGATTTGGGTCTTAGTGGCCCTGTGGCCAAGATTTCACCCTGCAGCCTCATCCCACCGAAAGGACTTGTTTTTAACCTTAGAGAAGTCCAGGGGCATGTGGCTGAGGGCAGAAATATGGTGTTCAGAGAGGCTTTAAGGCAACATATGGAGTGTTCTCAAATTCCCCATTTAGACCTCCTTATTCTCTCCCGGTCTCTGCTCTTTTTGGGGCCTTTGGCATCACTGGAACAAGCTGAAAATTCAGCTTCCAAAGGATGGTCTCTCTGTGGTTTTTCCAAGTGGAAAAAAAAAATCTGCAACAGAGAAATTGTTAAAATAGAAACCTGCTTTGGAGAGCAAAAGGAGGAAAGCCTCCAAAAGAAGAAAGCTGATGACCCCCTTGATTTTTCCTGGTAGCAAAAAGGGATTAAACCTGAGTGAGAAAATCCTGGGGATTTGTTACTTGGAATAAGAGGCCATTGGCAAGCTCTGGTCTTTGCAAACTTCCCTCTAAATCCCCTGAAACCTCGAATTCAGCAGCTCCAGCGTAGAAGTTGCCCACGGAAGCGGCAGGGAAGGCAAGGGCTTGAGGTGCTCATGTCCAAGGTGATGGATCCTGCAGCCATCCAGGCTCACTAGGAGCCTGGAGTGGTCCAGGACATGTATCTGAGGGACACAGAGTGGAGGTGTGGGTTTTGCCCTGCTGTGGATTAGGCTAAAGCATCATGGGTGTGGCACGACAGCAGTTTGAGAGTGAAATCTCCCCCTATAAGCATAGAGGGGTCATCCCCATCTTCTGGTTCGGTTCACACCACCGCCTTCCTCCCCAGGGCAAGGAGAAGTTCCTGGCCATCCTCAACAAGTACATGGAGATCCACGGCACGGTCTACTACGAGACGCAGCGGCCGCCCGAGGTGCCGCCCTTCGTCAAGAACCACGGGCTGCTGCCACAGCAGGAGTTCCAGCAGCTCCTGAGGAAGGCGAAGGTGGGCAAGAGCCAGCCGGGGGGTCTGGGGTGCCCTGCGCCCCATTAACCAGCCAGTAGCCAGGACTCAGTCACCTTGAGAAGGAAAAACTAATTAAAGGAGGCAGCGGGGTGGGGGATGGGTGTTACCTGCACCCCTCCTGGCTTGCAGGCACCAGCAGCAGGTCAACTAGCCAGGAGCTGAGCAAGGCAAGCAAAGCAAGTCCTGGCTGATGAGTTTCTCCTTGCGGAGTGTCCACAGACAGAGCACAACGTTTCCTGATGAATTTATTTATGGCTAAGTGGGGTGAGGTTCATTGTTCCCCTGGGCGAATGCATCCCCGTCACCTTCAGCCAGTGTTTGGGGGAAATGTTGTGGATTCACCAACCCAAAGGCCTTTGGCCAGCCAGTATTTCTCCATGCAGGGTCACTGTGATGGTCATAGCCACCCTGGGGGAACTTGCAGCTCCCGAACACCCTGTTGCTTTGCACAAGATTTTGCCTGGTGGAAAAAGCCCTGGGGTGTTGGTGGATAGCCAACTGAACATGAGCCAGCAGGGTGCCTAGGTGGCCAAGAAGGCCACCAGCATCCTGGCCTGGATCAGAAATGGTGTAACCAGTAGGAGTAGGGAGGTGATTGTGCCCCTGGACTTGGCACTGGTGAGACCCCCACCTTGACTCCCGTGTCCAGTTTTGGGCACCACAGGATGAGGACATTGAGGGGCTGGAGTGGGTATAGAGAAGGGCAACGAGGCTGGTGGGAGGGCTGGAAAATATGCCTTAGGGAGCCCAGCTGAGGGAAATGGGGTTGTTTGGTCTGGAGGAGAGGAGACTGAGAGGAGACCTTATTGCTCTCTAAAGTTACCTAAAAGCAGGTTGTAGTGAGGTGGGTGTTGGTCTCTTCTCCCAGATTACTGATGACAGGATGAGAGGAAATGGTTTCAAGTTGCACTAGGGTGCTTTCAATTTGATATTAGAAAGAATTTCTTCTTCTGAAGGAGTGGTCAGGCACTGGAACGGGCTGCCCAGGGAGGATGCCCAGCAGGATGGTGGAGTCATCCCTGGAGGTGTTAAAAAATGAGTAGATGTAGCACTTAAGGCCATGGTCTAGTGGTTAGGGCAAGGTTGGGAGGAAAGTTGGACTTGATGATCCTAGATGTCTTTTCCAACCACAGTGATTCTCTAAGTGGGCTGTGAGCCTCGGAGCAGGGGGACTTTTAACACATTTAAGCTCTGGGGTGTTGAACTACACGGAGCTGCCTTAGGGGCTCGGTGTGCACGACCAGGGCAGCAGAGCAGGATGCTGAGGAGGGTTATTTGGGAGTCTTTCCTCTGGGGTTGGCTGTGTTTGCTCTCTTTCACGTGGGTCTCTTCCTTGCAGCTCTTCATCGGCTTTGGGTTCCCCTACGAGGGCCCTGCCCCGCTGGAGGCCATCGCCAACGGCTGCGTGTTCCTGCAGGCGCGTTTCAGCCCCCCACACAGCTCCCTCAACCACGAGTTCTTCCGCGGCAAGCCCACCTCCAGAGAGGTGAGCAGGGGGCTGGGGGGTGGGCACCCCAGGGGAAGGGTGCTGGCTAACCTGAGATTGCTTTTTCGGGGCCTTTTCAAAGGCAGAAGTGTGGTACCTGCAGACGGGGGCTCTGCTCCCGTCCTCTCGTCGTCTCCATCCAGAGTGCTGGGATGCAAGGGGTCCTGCTGTGGGTGTGGGGCTGCAAAGGAGAAGGCAATGCAGGAGAATTCTACAGATCACAGGCTCCATCTTCATCAGCCCCATCCACGGAAAGCCCACACCCTGCTCCTGACCCAGGGTGATGCTCCCCTGTTTGTCCTTTTGTACATCCAAAGGGGTGGCTGGGATGTTGCAGGGGTATGAAACTCCTCCCAGGCTCGCCCCTCCCTGGGAATTCAATCTAAGTGAAGAAGGAACTCTTTAAAAAGTTAAAGGGTTGAGAAAATTGCCTCTTTCATTATTAATAAAGTGGATAACGCAGCGCGGTGCTTGCTCCTACCAAGGAAGGCTTTGCTGGGGGGCTGTGTGGCTTACCTTTGCTGGAGCCCAGCTGGCCAGCACCTACCACAGGGTGGGGCGCACTGGGCTGTCTGCCCCAGGCACCCCCCTAATTAGCTGCTGGGTGGGTGCTGTGGTTGTGCTTCAGCTCAGAGCAGCCGAGGGTGAAGGCTGTGAAATGCCTCAGGGGGGTTGTATGCTGGAGGGGAAGGAGAAGATCAATCTGCCTGCAAAAAAAGTGGGAAAGGACAGAAAGCTGGAGAATCCAGTATGGAGCATGTGCTGCGCTCCTCCTCCAGCTTTTCTTCAGGCCCCTCTGTAACATTTTGCCATGCCCCTGAAGCCCCTCCTCTGCTCAGCATCCTCTCTTCCCTTCCCAAGGTAGGAAGCAGCAGCCTGAGGCTAAAAAGGCAACTCAGGGGCTGAAATAAAAGAGGTAAAGCCTCAAAAATGTCCTGGTGGCACTGTGGAGTGCCAGTGTGTGGGGCTGCCCGTGGCATCGGGGCGATTTGGCTTCCAGCACTGCTTTCTCCCAGTGCAAGACTTCCCCAGCCTTTGGTGGTGATGGATTTTCTCTCTGCCTCATTTCTGGAGCTGGCAAACCTGGGAAACATAGTGCCTTCACAGACCTTTGCTGTTGTGCACTCCTTTTTTGCCACTCTAGACCAAAAAATGACTCAAGATTAAATTGAAGCTGCATTACAAAGCTGGAAATACTCAGTGCTGTGGAGGCGATTTCAGTGTTGATGGGAATGGGGCACACTAATCCAGTGGGAGTTTTCAAGCATCAGCCTGATGTCAGGAGGCAGCTGGGTTCAGAGGAAGCCTTTTTCCAGCACGTCTCTACGTGCAATGGGTTAAACCCCAAAATATCTGTGCCTGAGCCTGCTGCTCCTCTCTGCCATCATGACGGCTGTGAGTGGTAGACAGAAGCTGTTCTGTCAGGGTCTGCAAAACCCGGCTCACACTGCTGTGTTTTAGGTGTCCTCCCAACACCCGTATGCTGAAGACTTCATCGGGAAGCCACACGTGTGGACTGTCGACTACAATAACTCTGAAGAGTTTGAAGCTGCTATCAAAACCATCATGAGGACCCAGGTATGGCTTGGAGGAGGTGACGGGGCCATCTCCCCACTGCTGGGTTTGCAGGGATAGATAGCAGCAGCACTTGCTGGTGCCTGGCTCTCCTTTTTTGAGTGTTAATTGCTTCTCCTCCCTTGTTTCCCCTTTGAAACTATTGAACATGCAGAGCAGAAGACCTCCTCTCCTGCAGCTTCAGGGGCCTTGCTTTGGGACCAAGTATTGGAGGTCTTTGCCCAGGGCAGCAGTGTGCCTTTGAAGGATCCTCTGGGAATCCTCCAGGCAGAGCTGCAGCAAGGGGAAGCTGAGATAAGGGAGATGAGGTTTGGGAGCAGGAGGCTGTGAAACAGGGGGTTAGAGGTTATTGATGTGCAGTAGTGCTGGGACCTGGTGCAGAGCAAAGATAAACTCAGAGAGCATGTCCCTGCAAGTACCCTGGTACCTGCCATTCCCCTGTTACACTGTTTGTTGTTAGTATTTAGGTTTAGTAAATCAGTAGGAATAGCTCCAGAAGCTGCCTCTGTGAAGGGTGAAGGGATGGAAGGAAGGGGAGAGGGAGGTGGGGACTCCCCGGCAAGGCAGCATTCCCGCTGCACCTGCCCTGGGAATGCTCCCTCATGAATATTTACCTCCTGCCCCATGGCAGGAGCCTTTCAAGTTGTCCAAATTGTTAAATTCAATTTTCCTGGAGGGGAGAAAATACTGATCTTAATTTTGCTCACAATTTGCTTTGCTTGGGATAATCCATCCCCTCATGAGGACAGCGATGGGCTCTACATCGGGCTTGGGGGTCTGGTGTCCACAGTGCCAGGGGGGATTTTGGGGGGCACGGGGGTGATGCTGGCCAGAGATGTGTCATCCCTGCGTTTCTCTTCATTAGAGGTGGCAGAGGTGGGTGTCTGTGACTGGCTGATGTGGCCACACCATCTGTCCAGCTCTGGCATCCTACTGGGGGTCATTGCTGCAGCTCTTCACCTCACGCTGATTTTCTCTGCCAGTTTGCAAAGACCCAGCAAACCCAACTTAGGAAAACAGTGGTTGTTTTGCACATGCATTGCGGTTTCTCGATTAAAACGAAATGAAAACTAATGCCATCCCTGCTGCTGTGCTGCCAGGCCAGCTGTCAGCACTTGACCCTCCACCATCTGGGCTGGAGAGACGTCCCTGAAGCGAAGGTAGCGCCGTGGGCGGGTGGCTGGGAGCTGCTGCTCTCTGCCTCAGCAGAGAGAAGGAAATTTTCAGTTTTTCCAGACAGGAGAAAGAAAATAGTGAAGCCTGGTGCTGCCGTGCTATTAGAAGAATTAAAAAATGACTGGGCAGGCATCCTGAGGTGGCTGCTCCCTGTTTTCCATCCCATCCTGACGCCACGTGTGGGAGGATAAACTCTGTTTCCTATGGGATTGTGGAGCAGCTAAACCTGCCACCCATCTCTGCAGGATCAGGGAGCCCCACCTCAAGGTCCTCTCCCAGGAAGCACCCCAAGTGCTGTAATTACCTTTCAATACTGGGAGGTTGAAGTCCTAAATTTGCCTCAAGTGAGTAGAACCAACTGCTTGCATCCCACTGGCACTGAAAACGTGCTGTTGCTCTGGAGGGAAATTATTCCTTCCCACCAAGAAGTGCTCTGGGTTAATCCCACAGCTCACCTCTCTGAGTTTTTTAAAAGATATTGTGTAAATCCTCTTGAAGCAGAGCAGGGAGTGAGTGTGAATAACTTACAGCAACTTCCTTTTTTCCCCCTTCTTTTTTTTTTTTGCCTGCTAAATAGAAAGGTCTGCATCATTAGAGATGCTCTCAAGGCAATTAGGCCTAAAAATTGACCTATCTTACAGGTTTAAAAGCCTTATTATGGGCTTTGGTTTCAGGAATCCCTTGGTATCTTGTCTTTAAAATACTGTTTGCTGCA